CTAATTTTTGTATTTTTATTAGAGATGGGGTTTCACCATGCTGGCCAGGCTGATCTTGAACTCCTGATCTCAAGCGATCCGCTGGCCTCTGCTTCCCAAAATGTGAAGCCACTGCGCCTGGCCATACTGTTCATTATTCAGGAAGCCACAGTTTCAAAAAGTGTTTTAATGGATCCAAGCTATGGAAAATATCCCTTCCCCCATCACAATTTTTGGCCGATCAGGGCTTGCTAGTTTAGCCTCGGGTGCCAGCAGCATTTAAATAGCAGCAGTGACTGCAGTCACAGGATGGACACCTGGTGTTTAGACCTGGCTTGTAACCATGTTGGGGGTGAGGCTCGAAACTCACAGCATCAGTCCAGCTGAGGTGGCCAGATCCCACTTGAGATCAGGAGTTCAAGACCAGCCTGGCCTATGTGGTGAAACCCTGTCTCTACTAAAAACACAAAAAATTAGCTGGGCATGGTGGCGCATGCCTTTAATCCCAGCTACTTGGGAGGCTGAGGTGGGAGAATCACTTGAACTGGGGAGGGAGAGGTTGCAGTGAGCTGAGATTGCACCGCTACACTCTAGCCCGGGTGACAGAGTGAGACTCCGTCTCAAAAAAAAAATCCCAACTCACAGCCTGAAGCTGGCAAGATCTTGCTTGTTCTTTGAAACTCAGCATAATGGTTCTGACTCCTTACCCATTCCCCTGTTCAGTCAACATTTACTCCCATCACCCTGCTAGCAGCAGAGAGGAAGGCAGGAGTACAAGGTGTTCCTTGCCGTTGAAGAGCTCACATCTCATGTAGGAGCAGGAGATGGATGAGAAAGTTCCCGGCCCTCTGTTGAAATCACTGCAGTGCCTAGTGGGCATAGGACTCTGTTTCCTTTATATCTTTGACTCTCCTCAGACCAGACTGGAGATTGTCTCCCGGGACGCCATGGGTATCATCTAAAAAAACAGATACTTTTTTGTCTGAGGGGCCAGTAACACAATGGATAAAAAAAAAAAAAAAGATATTTTTTTATATGTACATTTTTAGGGGGTTAGGCACTGTATCTTTCTTCAAATTCTTAGAGGAGGCTTTGGTTTGAAAAGGCATGCTGATTGGCCAGGCGTGGTGACGTACCTCTGTAATCCCAGCTATCTGGGAGGCTGAGCCAGGAGAATCTCTTGGACCTGGGAGGCAGAGGTTACAGTGAGCTGATACCACGCCACTGCACTCCAGCCTAGGTAACAGAGTGAGACTCTGTCTCAAAAAAAAAAAAAAAAGTCATGCTGGGCTGGGTTTGTACCCTTATTGAACAGGGCTTTCTTTCTGCCTCTGTTCACCAGCAGACTCAGTCTGTGTGCAGAGGCATCTGGCAGAGCTGCATGATGCCCCTGGGATGAACCCAGAGAAGGGAAAGCGCTTTGAGAAATTCAGTGCTGTAAAACTGCTAATTTGCCTCGGTGTCCAAGGAGGCCCAGGAAAGACTGAATTCTTCCCGAAGCTTTAGAAGAATCCCAGTTGCCTGCCTGAAGGAAGAGCTGTTGTCATCCCTGTTTGTCTTGGGCAGCCTGGCCCTGATCACTGGTCTATGTCCCCAGGTCCGGACACTGTTTGTCAGCGGCCTCCCTGTGGACATTAAACCCAGAGAACTGTACTTGCTCTTCCGGCCGTTCAAGGTGAGTCAGGACCTGGCCACCCACTGGGTAGAGCCTGGGACCCTGTAGAAGCAGCAGGAGTGAATCTTGGGCTGGGGCCAGGCAGCAGGATCATGCGGGAAGGTGTGATAGAGGCTGTGGGGGCAGCTGCACCCCTCTTTCCTGGTTCTGTGAATTCCTGTGCTGCCTTCTGAGAATCCGCTTCCTCACTGGTTAAATGGAGACAGTGAGAATCTTTAAACACATGTGATCGTATAAAGAATATTTGAGATTCAGTGTAGCCTTTTCAGTTTGCAGATGAGAAAACTTGTAAGGTCTATGCTCTCAGGTCACGAGTTAGTGGAGCAAATGGGAATTTCTGCCTGAAGTGATGAGCGCTGCTGCATGCTGCCCACCCCACGTGCTAGACCATGTGATTCAGAATACAGGGCGGTGGATGACACTTGGCAGTGGTGGAGGTCAGGGTGGGTTGATGTTGACGGGGAGAAGGGTGTGAGAATGATTCAGGGGATGCCTGGGGAAGGGGCTGATGAGGTGGCAGTGCTGGGTTAGCACAACACACACTTCTGACCTTCCCCAGTAACGGCCACCTCTCTCTGCAGGGGTATGAAGGGTCCCTGATCAAGCTCACCGCGAGACAGGTAATTTCTCTCCTGGGATTTTCTTCCTCCCAGCCCAGACTGACTGCTGAGCTTGGAACCTTTCCCCAATCTAGAGGCACCCAGCCGTAGAGACTTGCTCCCTGCTGTCCCAGCGCTTCTTTACCGGCCAGCTACTGGTCCTCCCTGTCTGCTTCTTAGGAATCTGGAAGCCACTGCTTGCCCTGCTGGCTGAGGACAGTAGAGCAGGTAGCTGAGCTCTAGCTTTTGATACAAGGAGGCCAAGGCCCGCCAGCCTTCAGGGGCTATTTGGGGTCTAGACTGATCCTTGGAAAATGAAGTTGGAGCCGTTTTCAACCTGTTGCTCCTTGATTGACCTGGAGCCTTCCATGCCCTTGGTACATTGCAGTCCACTGTCTTGCTGTGGAAAACACTGAGACTTACTTTTAGTTATCTGCATGCGTTAAAAAAAAAAAATACTTTGGCTGGGCGTGGTGGCTCATGCCTGTATCAGCACTATGGGAGGCCAAGGTGGGCGGATCACCTGAGGTCAGGAGTTCAAGAACAGCCTGGCCAACATGGTGAAACCCTGTCTTTAAAAAATAAAAGTAAAAAAAAAAAAAAAAAACTCTTACTAAAAGGGCGATGTTTAATTCGGTGGGATTAAGCTCTGCTGGTGTCACTTCCCACCGGGTGTTCCCAGAGAAGGAGACTGGACTTTTGGCGCACATCAAGCTGCTGTTCCAGTGAACATGGGCTGGAGTTTTGGGGGCTTTTTTCCTTCTGTATTCTCTTCTCATAGCAAGACAAATACTGTTTCCACATAGGTGATACTCTTTGTTTCATTTTGTTTTGGAGGGAGGGGTGGGATGCTGGGAGAGTTGTAAGGGTGTTCTCTCTTTTTCCTACTAGCCTGTTGGTTTTGTGATCTTTGACAGCCGGGCAGGAGCAGAAGCAGCCAAGAATGCGTTGAACGTGAGTAGGAGGAGGACAGGTCTTCTCTGACCCTCAGACCTCTTAGGCAATGGGTGTGCAGATGTAGCTTATTTCCCAGCCATCCCTGGGCAGAGTCCTTGGTGGCACTGTCTCTGCCAAACACCATTACTCAAGGCCTGAGCAGCCTTTCCTCTGCCTTAGCCACTGTGTGGGCAAGTCTTCCAGGTGAGCTTGTTTATAGGGCCCTTAACTGCCATTAACACTCTGGGTCCTCCAGAGTAAGCCTTTCTCTTCTCTTCTCTACCCATATAGGGTATTCGCTTCGATCCTGAGAACCCACAGACCCTGAGGCTAGAGTTTGCCAAAGCCAACACCAAGATGGCCAAAAGCAAGCTAATGGCGACTCCAAATCCTAGCAACATGCATCCCGCCCTAGGAGCACACTTCATTGCACGGGACCCCTGTGAGTGGCACTCCGAGCTGGCAGGGCCTCATGGAGGTGCATTCGGGGCAGACTTGCAGACTCTTACAGAGGGAAGCCCCTTTTCCAGGAGGCTTTTTAAAATGTCTGTGGCCACCATCTTTTGAGACACCTGGTTTTCTTCCCTCCCCCACAGCCTTCCTCGAGCTTCTGAGCTTCCAGGGCTCCTAGCTTCCCTGAAGCCTTCTCTGATTTCTCATTTGAGACGGGCTGAGGCCTGCCTGACAACTTGTTGAAGCAGGCGGGATGTGCACCATGACAGGCCAATGTAACGTGCTTCCTTGCCTGGTCTCGGGGTCCTCAGTGGTTGGGGGTGGCCTGGCCTCACTGTAGGGCGTATGGCTCAGCCATAGTGTTGGGTTCCCTTCTCTGTTTGGAAGGGGAGGCGAGTGTTCTGATGATGGAGGCCGTTGTCTCCTGTTGTAGATGACCTGATGGGGGCTGCTCTGATCCCTGCATCCCCAGAGGCCTGGGCCCCCTACCCTTTGTACACCACAGAGCTGACCCCAGCCATCTCCCATGCGGCGTTCACCTACCCAGCTGCCACTGCCGCCGCTGCTGCCCTCCATGCTCAGGTAAGCCCCTTAGGGTTGGGGAGGGTGAAGAACGAGGGCTCCAAGCTGGCCAGACTTTGTGCTGCCTGGCCGCTCAGATGCTGCTGTCTCAGAGCTGCAGCAGAACTCTTGTCTTCCTCGATGGTTTGAAAGCCCAGACCCCAGGGACCTATGTATCCCTGCCCCTGGCTTTAGGATCTGACAGGAAGGGAGAAGATAACCCACAAATTCCCATGGAGGATGCCAGGCAGCCCAGCTGCAGTTCTCCAGCCCCGAGCACTCCTGCCCAGGTACCAACTGTGTTCTCCCATGGTCATGGGACCTTGACTCCAGTCCTAACCTGGGTATGGTCGCCGCAGCCAGAGCACTTGCCTCTGCCCCTTCCTGTCCCTTTCGTCACGCTCTTAAAGATTGCTGTGCCTTGATTTTTTTTTTTTTTAATTATCTGGAAAATGAGAATGATCATATAATCTGCATCAGGGAATTGTGAAAGTTAGATGTCAAGATAAAGTGACCAGTGAGTGCCAGGATGGAACCTGGAGCACCCAGAGAGCTCACTGAGCATTGGCTCTTGCTTCCATGAAGGCTGGACACCGTCCACTGTGAACCTGTGCTGGGCAGGAAGCAGGGAGCGAATGCTTCTGTGGAGAGTCAGGGCTGTTAGAGCTGGGCGGGGAGGGTTCTGTGTGGGGTGCTGATCTGGGTGCCCAAGGGGCAGACAGGGGGTTAGGCCCTCCCCTGGCCATGCAGGCACTTCCTCTGGTCTGACTCTGCCATAAGTGCAGGTCACTGTAGCACACTGCAGGGGAGGTCTCATCCCACTGTGTGTTTCTCAGGGAGCGGGGATGGTGCCTCACAGTGGCAGTGACAGAATGGAGCCAGGTAGCCATAGGAAGGGGCTGGAGGGCACTCTCGAGCCCACCTCAGCCTCTGACCAGCCAGGTGATGAGTGCTGATCCCAGGAAGAGCGGCCCGGTCAAGGCGTGCTGTGCTGCTGTGAGGAAGAGAATCAAGGCTGCTGGGACCTGGCTGGGGAGCAGGAGGGGAAGAGGAAGGAAAGCATGAGTACCCATGCTTTCCTTGGCCTCACGACGTTCAGTTGTACTGAGGGCAGAATCACAGGTAACCTTGGTACTCTTCTCCAGCCAAGCACCACAAATAGCTGGAAAATTGATCAGAGGATAAGGAAGGTGGTAAAGACCTTCTCCTGGAGGGAATTGTTGGGTATTTACTGCAAACTGGGTTCTGTGGCCGGAATAGAGTGGGCAGCAGGGAAGCCCATCCTGTCTACTCTGACCTGGGCAGTTACCTGATGCTTCAGGTCAAGTGGGCAGGCTTAACTGCCAGGCCCTGGGAGGCACTGGAAGGAATCACAGGCTCCCACCTCACCGGGCTCCTCACTTTTGATCCCAGCTTTGGCACCAATTAGCTACATGATCCTCACCTCTGGTCCTCTGTGTCCCCATCTGTAAAATGAGAGGCATAGAGCAGATCAGGTGGAGAGGTTCTGCCCCATCCTCTGAGTTGCTAGCCTGTGACAGAGGTTGGGAGCCAGGGACAATGTGTTCATCAAATGAATCAGAAAGGGCACCTCTGCCCAACCTTCTGGGGGTAGCGCTGCTCTCTGGCCCTGAGCTCCACGCCACAGGCCTCCTTCCTCTGTTGGCTTCCCTCCCACAGTTTTCTCCCACCTCATCCATACTCTGCAGCTGTCCAACTCTGGCCCAAATCCTGGTTCTCAACAGCTGTGGGATGTTGGATGTGTTACCTACTGTCTCTGTGTTTCTGTAAAGTGATAATAGTGCTTACTTGATAGGTGTGTTGTTAGCGTGATGGCATGGAGGAAGTGCTGTGGAAGTGCAGGTGATCGTGATTGTTACTTAATATCACTATTGTATGGGTCCCCTTAGTCTTCTCTGAGACTGGAGGCATCTTTGTTCCTGAGTTCCTGCTTTCTGGCCTTCCTTGGACAGGGACTGGGATAGAGGCCACTCACCCCAAAGGATAGTGGTGTTTTGGGGAGGCAGGCTAATGGGAAGAGATTAGACCAGGGAGTCATTTGTTCTGTGCTTGTTACCCAAACTCTCTGGGCAGCCATTTCCTCCATAGTAAAAACAGGCTGGGCGAAGTGGCTCACGCCTGTAATCCCAGCACTTTCAGAGGCTGACGTGGGTGGATCACGAGGTCAGGAGATTGAGTCCATCCTGGCCAACATGGTGAAACCCTGTCTGTACTAAAAATACAAAAAAATTAGCCAAGCGTGGTGATGCATGCCTGTAGTCCCAGCTACTGGGAGGCTGAGGCAGGAGAATCTCTTGAACCTGGGAGGCAGAGGTTGTGGTGAGCCGAGATCGCGCCATTCCACTCCAGCTTGGGCAATAAGAGTGAAACTCTGCCTCGAAAAAAAAAATTTATTTTTTCCTTCCAACAGCCCCACTCCTTGACCTCTGACAGTGCTGCCCCAGAGATGGAGGTTAAAAGTGTCTAAATAAAGGAAGTATGGATACAGTTGATCTTAAGCGGATTGTTCTGAACCTAAAGGACCAACAGAAGGACTGAGTTTTTCTGTGCCTGAGGGCAAGGAGGTACCTTCAAGAGGAGGTAGCAGCTAAAAGACAAGGGGATGAAAGCGAGTGCCCCTCCATTCTCTACTGCAGCTGCATGCCCTTTGCCGGTAGCCCAACCTGAGCCCAGGCCTCCATAGCTATGTGGCTGCAGAGACCAGACCTACAGGAGGGGCCTGGAGATTGTTAAGTCCTGCACTGTCTTGGCATGAAGCCACCTTGCCTGGCCTTCTAACCTTCTTGATAGAATCTTCCCCTTTAAGAGGGTGAGGCACAAAAGCAACTGTGGATGGCAAGCCCAGTGGAATTTAGCATAGAAAAATGGTGGCCTGAAAGCAGGACTTCTCGGTGTCCTATTGCATCCCAGGGACCTCCCAGACTGGATTTCATTTTCCATTCCAACCTGAGGATATGGGGGTCTTCCATGACTCTTTTCTCCCCCTTAAACTGGTTCAGCCATTTACCAGTGAGTGACCTTAAGGTTACATAAACTCCCTTGCCTCTATTTTCTTATCTGTATAATGGAGATGATAATAGCGTCTACTTCATAGGGTTTTTGTGAGGATTAAATGAATTTAGTATATGAAATCTACCTAGAACAGCATCTGGTGCATAGAAAAGGCTTCATGAGCAGTTGCTATTATTATATTAGCATATCTTTATTTATAAAATAAAACACGCAGTTCTCTTTGGCTTATCATCCAATCCCCAAAAAACCTGTACTTTTAATTCTTCACTTTGATAGGTAGTTTGGAGCAGGTGTGTAAGTAAATCCATATGTATGAATCTTAGAAAAATTATATGACTTATTTAATCTTTTAAATATTAGAGGGCCTGGCGCAGTGGCTCATGTCTGTAATACCAGTACTTTGGGAGGCCGAGGTGGGCAGATCACCTGAGGTCAGGAGTTCAAGACCAGCCTGGCCAACATGGTGAAACCCCATCTCTACTAAAAAGCAGAAAAATTAGCCGGGTGTGGTGGTAGGCACCTATCATCCCAGCTACTCAGGAGGCTGAGGCAGGGGAATTGCTTGAACCCGGTAGGCAGAGGTTGTGGTGAGCTGACATAGTGCCACTGCTCTCCAGCCTGGGTGACAGAGTGAGACTCCATCTCAAAAAAGGAAAAAACCTTAAATATTAAGACTTTAAAATACATGTATATATTAGTAAGTGTAGCTCTACGTTTTGGATGCCTGGCCAGTACACCATTGCACAAATGTGTCCAGCTCCCTGTAGATGGTAAGTTGGTTTGTTTACACAGTATTTGCTATTGATAGCTATACAACAATGGATGTCCTTGTGCGTACTTCTCTGGGCACGTCTTCTGTTTGTTTTCTTTGTGATAAATTCCTAGAACTATGACAAGGTCAAAGTGTAGACTTACCAATCTGGGCTAAATACTGTTTTAATTTCAGATGAGTGAGGCTTCCGTATTTTTTTTTTTTTTTTTTTTTTTTTTTTTTTTTTGAGATGGAGTTTCACTCTTGTTACCCAGGCTGGAGTGCAATGGCGCGATCTCGGCTCACCGCAACCTCCGCCTCCTGGGTTCAGGCAATTCTCCTGCCTCAGCCTCCCGAGTAGCTGGGATTACAGGCACGCGGCACCATGCCCAGCTGATTTTTTGTATTTTTAGTAGAGACGGGGTTTCACCGTGTTGACCAGGATGGTCTCGATCTCTTGACCTCGTGATCCACCCGCCTCGGCCTCCCAAAGTGCTGGGATTATAGGCGTGAGCCACTGCGCCCGGCATTTTTTTTTTTTTTTTTGAGACAAGGTCTCACTCCATTGCCCAGGCTAGAGTGCAGTGGTGTCATCTTAGCTTTTTGTAATCTCTATCTCCTGGACTCAAGCGTGACCCTCCTGCCTCAGCCTCCCAAATTGCTGGGATTACAGGTGTGTGCTACCATGCCCAGCTAATTTCTGTATTTTTTGTAGAGATGGGGTTTTGTCATGTTGGCTATACCGGTCTCAAATTTCTGGGCTCAAGAGATCCCCCCACCTCTGCCTCCCAGAGTGCTGGGATTAAGGCGTGAGCCATCGCGCCTGGCCTTATATTTATTCTCGTGTGGGTTCATCCTGTTGCTTGCTCTCTGGTATATCTTCTCAGCTGGTCAGTCCCACGGTCTGAGAGAGGGTTGCCTTTGCATCCTCTGCTCTTTGTTTTGAAGGAGCCCTCTGGGAGCCTAGTCTCTGAAGCCTGTTGGGTGGACTCTCAGGAGCCCCGGCTCCCCCTGTCCACAGCTGGAGGCCCTGAAAGGACACTGCGGGTGCCTCGTCTTGCTGGCCCAGCCCCTGCTGGGGGTCTCCTCTTCTGAGCTGGAGCAGAAAGAAAAAATCCAGGAAGGGACTGTGTGGCTTCTAGAGGACCCAGGCCGCTGCCCTATGCTGGACAACCGAAGGAAGTGGAAAAACAGCCACTCTAGTGCGTTCTGTCTGCTTCAGTGGCACGGCTGACCCAAGCCCATAAATGGGAGCTTTTCTCTACTTTCTCCCTAAGGAGTCACGTGACTCCTCTCAGGCTGGAGGGAAAGTCGCTGCTTTGGAAGCAGGAGTCCCAGCACCTTGTAGCTAGAGGGTAAGGCAGGATCCAGCAGATTCTCTGGAGGCGGCCTTACGCAGTCATTCAAGGCCTGATTCCCAGTGGTGGAAGAGGGTGGGTTGCAGGCCTCCAGAGCTCCTCCCACTCTGTCGTCCCCTTGTCTGGCCCTGTGGGACACCCAGCCCGTCAGGCATTTCTTGCTGTGGGGCTGCACCAGCTGGAGGCCACATGAAGGGCGGTGGTCTGGGCCCACTAAGGGGCTCCCTGGGCTGGTGCCAACCACCAGCTTTTCGGTAGCAGCATTGCTGATTTCCTCATGTGTCCGTCTCTTGTGGAATAAGTTCTAGTGTCCAGCCAGGCTTCTAGCTTCCTGCTGAGCTCCTGGGAGGAGGTGGTGGCTGGAATTCTGCCCTGTACAAAACAGGACCTAGAATTTGTGGGGGACATGAACCAGTTCTTGGGAAGCTTCTGTCAGCCCCGAGATGGCCTGGCATGGCTCACCCAGGAAGCAGGAGTTCCCAGCAGCCAAGTGGGTAACTGGGTCTGCCTGCTCCAACCTCAAGGGAGCTGTCTGCAGGCCCAGCTTCTACTCCTTTCCTCCCACATGCTAGTGTGCTGCCCCCTCCCTTCCTAGTGGGGACTCCAGCTCCCCTTCCAGGGTGCTCATTCCCAGACCCCAAGTCAAGGACCTGTGTTGTCCTGCCCCCACCCTTTCCCTGGCGATCCTGGGTCAGGCTGAGGCAGACATGCTTCACTGTGCATAACTGGGGCAGGTGGCCTTCCCTGAGGTCTTGGCAGTCAGCATACTTCTCTTCGAGATGATCAGCCCATGGGGAGGAGGGAGTGTGCCATTTTCTTGACCAGTTTCTGGGAACCCAGCTTTGGGGTGACTGCTCTGTGGGGCCTTCTGGCAAGTGCCAGGGCTTAGGCAGCTTCCAGGCACTGGTGAGGATGATCTCAGATAGCTTCCACCCACCTGAGTTTGCAGACTTCTAGACTTAAGGAGCTTGTAATGGAGGGCAGGCACAGCAGGGCTGGAAAGGTCAAAACAAGGGAGCCTCGGCTGGGTCTCATCCATGGCTTCTCTGAAGAATCAGGACCAACATTGGAGAGCCCTACCCTTGGGGTCTACATGGGTTTTGTGTTGTTTAATAGAGACAGGGTCTCACTAATGTTGCCCAGGTTGGTCTTGAACTCCTGGGCCTCATGTGATCCTCCCTCTTCAGCTTCCCGAAGTGTTGGGATTACAGGTGTGTGCCACTGCACCCGGTCTTTACTGTATCTTTTTTTTTTGAGATGGAGTCTCCCTATGTCACCTAGGATGGAGTGTAGTGGCATGATCTCAGCTTACTTCAACCTCCGCCTCCTGGGTTCAAGTACTTCTCCTACCTCAGCTTCCTGAGTAGTTGAGATTATAGGTGCACACCACTACACCCGGCTAATTCTTTTTGTATTTTTAGTAAAGATGGAATTTCACCATGTTGCTCAGACTGGCCTTGAACTCCTAACCTCGTGATCCTCCTACCTTGGCCTCCCAAAGTGCTGTGATTATAGGCGTGAGCCACCGCACCCGGCCTTACTGTATCTTTACATCCTGTCTTACCTGATCCTCACAACCACTATGACTTTTTAATTTCTGTCCTATAGCTGGGTGAGGACACTGAGACTCAAAGAAGTCAAACAAAAAATGTACGAGGCTCATTCTCTTCCTAACGTTAGAATTCCGTGGTCTATCAGTAAAGGGGAAGGGTGGGTTGCTAGCACCACTGCCCACGGCTGCCAGGACTCCTGCCAGCATAGCGTGGCCCATTTGAATTGGGCTTAGTGGGGTATGAGATGCCTCCTGCGTGACCTTCTCTTGCTGGAACTGGTGTCCTGCAGAGGAGGCACATCAGGCAGTGCTCTCTCACTTTCCCAATGGAGAAACATGCTTAAAGGTGAGTAACTGCCTTGCGCGGTGGCTCACGCCTGTAATCCCAGTACTTTGGGAGGCCGAGGTTGGTGGATCACCTGAGGTCAAGAGATCGAGACCATCCTGGTCAACATGGTGAAACCCCGTCTCTACTAAAAATACAAAAAATTAGCTGGGCATGGTGGCGCCTGCCTGTAATCCCAGCTGCTCAGGAGGCTGAGGCAGGAGAATTGCCTGAACCCAGGAGGCGGAGGTTGTGGTGAGCTGAGATCACGCCATTGCACTCCAGCCTGGGTAACAAGAGCGAAACTCCGTCTCAAAAAAAAAAAAAAAAAAAAGGTGAGTAACTGGCCCAACATCTGCCAGTCAGTGACAGAACTAGGACACCAGTGGGGACACCGACGGCCATGGTTCCCAGGTTTCCTCTTGAGTGAAGGGGTGCACAGCTGGCTTCCTGACATTGGCTTCTCTTGCAGGTGCGCTGGTACCCTTCCTCTGACACCACCCAGCAAGGATGGAAGTACCGTCAGTTCTGTTAGTTCTTCAGTAAGTGTTGGCCCCGGAGGCCCAGGACAAGTGTCCTCCTCAACTCCGGCTCCCTGCAGGGCTGGAGTTCCTCCCTCTGCCCGGGTCTCGAGAGCTTAGCCAAGCCCAGAGCTTGGTCACGGGTGCGTCAGGCTGGTTTTTCCTTCTGTCTGTGACTGCAGGCCATCCACTTGTACAGCCCCTCACCAAAGGAAGGCCTGGCTTTGGCTCCAGTGCCGCGCCTCTGCTCATGGCTGCCTCTCTCCCTCCCTCCAGGTCTGGTCACCGGGGAGTTGGTTCTGGGAATCTAATGTGGTGCTGGGACAGGCGCCCTGAGCTCCCACCGCCCCCGGGTGGCCTGTACAGAGCTGCTGCTGCCCTCCAGAGACTGTGAATCCTAAGCCTGATTCAGTGGACTGCTTCCTGTTCCCCTCCCTCCCCTTCCTCAGCCCTGTTCTGCACCCTCAAGCCTTTCTCCAATGCCTCCCAGGAGGATTTAGGGACCTTCTTGCTGGGGCATCCAGACCGAGCTCAGAGGCCTCACTGGGACCCAGCAAGGCCTGACCTCCCGCCCAAACTTGCTTCTGTAGCTCCTCCTCGAGGAAGCGAGGCGTTTAATTTTGCATGTTTTCTGGCATGAATGAAGACACTTACACTTGTGTATATGTGAGTGTACAGTTTGTTCTCACACTGTCACCATAGCGACAGGTCCTGGCCCCCAGTGGTTCATGTGCCTGGCCCCTCCTCACCCTGCCCCTGCACCCACCCCGCTTCAGGGAGGCCCGGAGCCCTGTGGCCCCATGCGCTTCCAGGCTCAGCTCCCACCTCCACCCAACAGATAGATGGGGTTTGCTTTTTCATTTCACACTGGACTCCTCCTCTGTTGCTGTCTTCTTGGACCAGCCTCCTCTGCCCATCCTGTTCACCTCTCCACAACGCACCCCGCCCGCCGCTGCTCCGCGTTTCTTCCAAACCTCGAAACCAACCAAACCGTGAAAAGTATTTTTGTACCCTGTGTAACAAAATATTTATGCATCATAAAGGATTTTTCATGTGTGTACCATTAATTATTAAAGAGACCTCGTTCGCCCTGTCAGATAAGTTTAATGTTTAGTTTGAGGCATGAAGAAGAAAAGGGTTTCCATTCTTCAGCAGTAAGCCTTTGTGTCAGGCATTTGTTTAAGAAAATGAAATGAAGGAAACATTGTGCAATGTTTTTTGTTTTGAGCATATCAGTGCTTTACTGTCAGCCACAGCTGTGACCGTCTGGCCATTTCAGAGTCGGGAGCCGAGGTGGCTGTTGTCATTGCTGATCCTGTGAGAATGTGAAACTGGATAATATATGAAATGCAAAATAAAACAAAATCAAGATGACTGCTCTCTGGCCTTTGCTTCCCCCTTCCATAGGATGCAGTCTGCCGTTGGGAAGGCAGTGCCGGAGAGATGTGGAGTTAGGGGAAGGAAGTGAGGTGGGCCTGGCCTGCTGGCAGCTGGCTTGTGACTGTAAAGGTGGAGAGGACCCTGGGGCTCGCTTAGCCTCTCCTGCCTCTGCCTCCCTCTTTTGTAAGCTTGAGAAACAAAGTCCTAGGGGACGTGACTTGCCCAAGGGCCCAGCAGCTGGGGTTTCACTTTCTTACTTCCAGGCTGTCAGGGTAGGGAGAGACTCCCTGCACCCAGAGAAGGCCCCCAGTGGGACCTTCCTTTTCTAGGTGCGCTGTGACCCATTCAGCTTGACCCTTCTCAGCCTGTGGTCTTTTCCAGCCTCGCTCTAGTACAAGAGGACCGAGGTTTGGGCTGTTGGGCTCTGCCAGGTGGCGTCTGTCCTTTGCGAGGCTATGCTGGAGGGAAGGCTGGGACCTGGAATTTTGCCCAGAAGGGGCTAACCTCATCTGCCCTGTAGTCTACAGGCTGCAACTCTGATTCCTCTGATTGAGCAGGAGGAGCAGATGGGTGTGAGGGTCAGGGAGGCTGTGCAGTGCCCAGAGCCCAGCTGGAATGCCTGCCGTGGCCCTGAGGCTTCCCTTTCGTGACTTGGGGTCTCAGGTTCCTTGTCTGTGAAGTTGTGGCTTGAAATCCTTTCCAGCTCTTACTGGAGGGCTGGTGCGCTGAACTCAGGGTTTAACGGTTTGTTTTTTTAAATCCACTCCTAGGAGAGCTACCCTGCACCCCACCCCATCTGAGACCCAAAGCCGTGGCTGGAAAAGGGGGGTGGTAGGGGCCCCAGAACCCCCCTCCCAGTAGATGTTGCCCCAGCCTTGCTCTGAGTCAAACTAAAGTGGCTGTGGCTGGCTCTGGTCACTTCCTCACTTGCCCCTTGGGTGACCACTCCCCACCTTCACCCCTCTCCTGAATCCCAGTCCTGCGCTGGTCGGCTTGGGTCTAAGATGGCACTGCTAGTGAATGTGTCAGCTGGCGACATGTGTGGCCCAGCTTCTGTGAGGGAGGAGGAGGAGGAGCCTGGCCGGGAGCAGGCCCTGCAAGCAACCGTGGGTAAGTTACCTGGACCTCAGAGGGAGGCTGTGTGACTGCCTGGAGGAGTCGGAGGTTACTCGTCTCCCGAGCTGTGCTCTTTGCCTCGATACAGTATTGGACCAGCTGGCAAAGCCGCCCAGCCTTCAGCCCCTGCCTGTGCCACTGGGGAAGCTGCTCTGAGCCCTGCGGCCCCCACCCAGGGCCAAGCCGAGGTCTGACCTACTTCGTCTGTGTCAGGAACCACTGGGTCTTCCTGAGGTTGTGAATTATTTAGCGAGGGCGCCCGGGCCTTTCTGAGAGGGGCTAAGACAGCTGCTCCATAATTTAAAGGCCCCTGCGCCTGCGGCTTCCCTGGGGGGCCTCCTTCACGCTTTGGCGAGCAGGGCCCAGGCTTGGTTCTGCGAGGAGGAGCTGGGGAAGGAGAGGCCTGCAGCCATTCTAGAGGGCGCTCTCAGCAGGACTGGGGGCATTTCTCGGGGTGCGGCCTCTGCAGAAAGGCCTTAGTGGACAGTCACGTTTGGACTGAACGTGGGTTGAGGAGCCTCCAGTAGTTCAGGGCTCCCTGGCTGGGGTCAGAAGCAGCTGTTTCCTGATTCCCTGTCCTGAGCTCTTTCCAGAAAGCATATCGTTCTTCCCAGAGGTGTTGAGTCCTGATCGCTGATTGCAGGTAAAAGTGTTATTTCCCTTCTGAAAGGGAGTTAGGCATCCGGAACCACCAGGGTTCTTCCCCCAGCCCCTGCACCCTGAGATGATGGGGTCTCTCTCTGTTGCCCAGGCTGGAGTGCAGTGACATGATCTCTGCTCACTACAACCTCTTCCTCCTGGGTTCAAGCCATTCTTCTGCCTCAGCCTCTCGAGTACAGGCATGCGCCACCATACCCAGCTAATTTTTGTTCCTTTTGAGACGGAGTTTCACTCTTGTTGCCCAGGCTGGAGTGCAACGTTGGGATCTCGGCTCACCATAAACTCCACCTCCCAGGTTCAAGCGATTCTCCTGTCTCAGCCTCCCGAGTAGCTGGGATTATAGGCATGCGCCACCACACCTGGCTAATTTTGTATTTTTAATAGAGATGGGGTTTCTCTATGTTGGTTAGGTTGGTCTTGAACTCCTATCCTCAGGTGATTTGCCTGCCTTGGCCTCCCAAAGTGCTAGGATTACAGGTGTGAGCCACGATGCCTGACCCCCACCAGGGTTCTTTTTGGTTTGGGGGTCCCTTCCCAGCAACGATGAAATCTCCCTGTTGGCAGAAAAGGCTGTGTTTCCATGTAACCCCCTCCCCACAAGCAGACTAGTGAGGCTAGTACTAAACAGATGCTCGTGAGCCACTGGGAAGCCCCTGCTCCCCCCATGCCCTGGCTAGAGCAAAAGAGATGGCGCTTGTCACCCTGGCTGGACCATCCTTGGGTGCTGCTGCCTAGCCACCATTTTTTCTTTTCTTTTTTATTTTTTTGGAGACAGGGTCTCTCTCTGCTACTCTGGAGTGCAATGGTGTGATCATGGTTCATTGCAACCTCTGCCTCCTGGGCTCAATTAATCCTCCTACCTCAGCCTCCAGAGTAGTAGCTGGGACCACAGGCACACACCACCATGCCTGGCTAATTTATGTATTTTTTTGTAGAGACCCAGGGGTTTCACCATGTTGGCCAGACTGGTCTCAAACTTTTGGGCTCAAGTGATCCACCTGCCTCAGCCTCCCAAAGTGCTGGTATTACAGGCATGAGCCATGATGCCCAGCGATTTTAAGGGATGGATGTGACTTATTTTGGAGCTTTCCCAGGCAGGTTCCCAGGTTCTAGGCTGTGTGGCCTGACACGATGATGCATCTTGGTGATCCGGAGGTCTGGAGCAGGGGCGGGAGGGATCCAGGCCTCCCTCATGCCCACTGTTCTACCCCACCCTGTCCTGCCTGCATGTGCCCTGCAGAACTCCATTTCCTGAGATCTGGAATAAAGCCTTTGGATCTTGAGTTTTTTTGTCAGAAGGCAAATATCCCTGAGAAACCAGGCTGAGTCCCTCAGAGGAGGGAAGTAGGGAAAGTGCCAGAAGGGGACCGTGGAAGGGAAAGGTGGAAAATGGGAGGATAAAGACTCCTGCAAAGGTCTGAGGAGGAGGGAGCAGAGCCGCCCCAGTCAGCTGAGGGCCTGCCCTACCTCACATCTTCTGCGCCAGCCTCCACCCAGGTGGCCCCGTAGGAGGGCAGGCCCTGTCCCAATGCCTGCTCTCAGGCAGAGGAGGGGCTCCAGGAGCAAGGAGAGCAAGGCTGGACAGGATCACTGTCTTGGCAGCTTTCCAGGGCGGCCTGGAAAGGGGCATGTGGTGCGGGTCCATTCCATTCCCCTTCCCCTACCTCCTTGACCATCACCCCCAGCTCCCTGGTCTCTGGTTGGGATGAGGGAGTAGGAACCTCTGCAGGAGTTTGGAGGGAGGTCAGGTACCCTTGGCCATTGTCTTCATGACCTTCCAGCCACCTTAAATCTGTTCTTCTGAGGGGCCCTTCAGATGACCCCAGGAAACCAGGATTGGACGTTGGCATTGAGTCCACCCAGCTCTCCCTTTCACAGATGGAGACGGTGAAGCACAGAGGTGAGTGGTTTGCCCTAAAGCCAGCCCTTTGTTGTTTTGGAGACAGTGGCCAATGCATGCCCCACTGGTGTCTCCTGCCTTCCAGTCAGTCCAGCACCGCACAGGTTAGGCAGGCAGCAGACGCCTTACCCACAGGCTTGGAAGCCTCTCCCTGCAGTGCTAGAGCCGTGGTTATGGCTCAGGCCTGCTGGCTGCACACCTCTTCTTGGCATGCCGTACATACTCTCGTCTTCTGTCTTGGTCTAAACATGACCTGATCTTCCCTGGGACACTGGGTCTTACTCCCTGGTTAAGGGACAAAGAGAATCCCTTAGTGACCCAGCTAGCTTCAGCTTAGCCTTGTGTAGTCTGGTCTTCAACCCAGTGACAGGGTTGTTGGACCTGCAGGACACATCTGGCTCTCAGCTTATGCAAGAACCAGGACAGTGGATCTGCATTTCTGTCTGTAGCAGAGAAAATGCAGCCGTTGAGTAGGAGGAGCTTAAGAGATAGGAATGGCTGTCTCATCCCAGAAAAGCCCAGGCCTTTCCTCGGAGTGTGTGTTTCTTTGTGACTATGTTTCCTTCCCTCATCAGGTTATGAGTTTTAATGATAACATAATAACATTGGTTGTGTTATGACACAAAAATGTGCCTAACACATAGTAGGTACTCCCTAAATGTTTTCTATGGTTATTTTTCATTCTTGCTTTATTTTTGAGACAGAGTCTCACTCTGCTGCCCAGGTTGGAGTGCAGTGGCGCAATCTTAGCTCACTGCAACCTCCGCCTCCCGGGTTCAAGCAATTCTCCCTGCCTCAGCCTCCCAAGTAGCTGGAATTATAGGCACCCACCACCACGCCTGGCTAATTTTTATATTTTTAGTGGACACAAGATTTCTCCATGTGGCCTTTAACCCAGGGATTAGGGTTGGTCTCGAACCTTGGACTCAAGTGATCCCCTTGCCTCAGTTTCTCAAAGTGTTGGGATTACAGGCATGAGCCACCACGCCTGGCCAGTGGTTATATTAAAAAGATACTATTTCACTCATTCGTAACAAGCAGTGAAATTGAGTTGATTCCAATTGATGCACTCCTCTTTTTTTTTCCCCCCCGCCAGGGGAAAGCGCGAATGCAGTCCCCCACTACCACAAATTATGCAGTCGAGTTTCCCACATCTGGGGAAATCGCACAGGTCAGCACATCCAAAGTGCAATGGATAAGCCTCGCCCTGGGAAAACCACCTTCATGATCATGGTATCTCCGCTGTCAGGTAAGTATGATGTACTCCTTGACTGGTTGTTCATTGGATTAACAGTCATTGAAAAAAATTTTTTTTTTGAGTCAGAGTCTTACTGTGTCACCCAGGCTGGAGTGCAGTGGCACAATCTTGGCTGACTGCAACCTCCGTCTCCTGGGTTCAAGCAATTCTTCTGCCTCAGCCTCCTGAGTAGCTAGGACTACAGGTACACGCCACCATGCCCGGCTAATTTTTGTATTTTTAGTAGATACGGGATTTCACCATGTTGGCCAGGCTGGTCTTGAACTCCTGACCTTGTGATCCCCCCACCTCAGCCTCCCAAGTTCTTTGATTACAGGCGTGAGACACCGCACCCAACCCCATTGAAAGTTTTTTTTTTTTTTTTTTTTTTTTTGAGACAGTCTGGCTCTGTTACTTGGGCTGGAGTGCATTGGTGCCATCTTGGATCTCTGCAACCTCTGCCTCCCAGGTTAAAGCGATTCTCCTGCCTCAGCTTCCTGAGTAGTTGGGATTACAGGCACCTGCCACCACACCCAGCTAATGTTTTGTATTTTTAATAGAGATGGCGTTTCACCATGTTGTCCAGGCTGGTCTTTAACTTCTGACCTTGGGTGATCCACCCATTTTGGCCTCCCAAAGTGCTGGGATTACAGGTATGAGCCATCTCGCCTGGCCCATTGAAAGATTTTTAACCCCATGTTTTGCCTGGGAGAGAGGTGAAAGGAAGGGGTGGGGCCCAGAAGTCTAGTAGAACACACGCAAGATCCCAGAGCCACTGGCTTTTGGCACTGAGTCTACTCTAGCTTTTTTTTCCCCAGGCAGAGTCTCATTCTGTCCCCCAGGCTGGATTGCAGTGTCATGATCTCGGCTTAGTGGAACCTCCACCTCAGCCTCCTGAGTAGCTAGGATTATAGGTATGTGCCACTATGCCCACCTGATTTTTGTATTTTTAGTATCGTCAGGGTTTTGCCATCTTGGGCTGGTCTCAAACTCCTGACCTCAAATGATCTGCCCACCTCAGCCTCCCAAAGTGCTAGGATTACAGGCATGAGCCACCATGCCCAGCTTTCTAGCCTTTTTATCAAACCACTTAGGGCTTCATAGTTCTGACAGTAGTTGTAATCATACACTTCTTCAGAGTTTATAATATATACATTTGTTGTCTCCCATGATTGCCATTCAAGCCTGCTGACATAACAGAGAGGAGTTGGCTGAGCGTGGTGGCAGCTTGGCCAACAGGGCAAAACCCTGTCTGTACTAAAAATGGAAAAATTAGTCAGGCATGGTGAGGTGTGACTGTAATCCCAGATACTAGGGAGGCTGAGGCAGGAGAATCACTTGAACCTAGAGGCAGAGGTTGCAGTGAGCCCAGATCATGGCGCCACTGCACTCTAGCCTGGGCAACAGAGTGAGACTCTGTCTNTTTTTTTTTTTGTATTTTTAGTAGAGATGGGGTTTCATCATGTTGGCCAGGCTGGTCTCAGTCTCCTGACCTCAAGTGATCTGCCCGCCTTGGCCTCCCAAAGTGCTGGAATTATAGGCATGAGCCACTGTGCCCAGCCAGTTTCTTTTCTTTTCTTTTTGAGAGGGAGCTCACTTTGTCTCAGGCTGGAGTGCAATGGTGTGATCTTCGCTCACTGCAATCTCCGCCTCCTGGGTTCAAGTGACTCTCCTGCCTCAGCCTTCCGAGTAGCTAGGATTACAGGTGGCTGCCACCATGCCTGGGTGATTTTTGTATTTTCAGTGGAGAGGGGGTTTCACCACATTGGCCAGGCTGGTCTGGAACTTCTGACCTCAGGTGATCTGCCTGCCTCGGCCTCCCAGAGTGCTGAAGTACAGGCACGAGCCAGTGTGCTGTGCCCTATTCTGATATTTTTTGACCCCGCTGTCCACCATGAAGTGCTGGACTTAGTCAAGAGTTGGAAACTCCTGCTCTGCAGGAAGTGAGGAGACTGGGGGAGGCAGGCTGGGTGACTGGGTGACAGGAGGAGGGGGCAGTGGCTACCTCTTGGTCCCAGCCAGCTGCTGCTCAGCAAGGTGGGGGGCCCTTTGTGGCTTCATGTTTTGATTTTTTAACAGAAATTGGACATTCAGATTTTAATGTAAAAAGTCCTGATTTTGGATGCTGGTAACTAACCAAACCATATCAAGCCATTTCATGGGCTATACTATGGCCCATGTGCTTATTACTTTGCAACTTCAGGTCAAAGATTCCTAGTTTTCACTCTGTGCAGAAACTCTGGGGACAAAAACTGCCAAGTGCACAGTTAGGCCCAACCCATAGGTGTGACCTCTTCCTCTCTTCCTTTGTTTCCTTTTGTTTTTTCAATAGCCATCAGAGAGCCAGGCCCAAAGGCTGCATTATCTGAGAATCTTGCCCTCACCCACATCGATCCTACCTCTTCTGAGGAAGAACCAGCAATGCTTCCAGAGGCCACCAGAGGGCAGGGTGGAGTGCCAAAAACTATCGGTTTTGGCTAGTGGAGAAGTGGAGGTTGTGATCTTAATCTGGCATCCAGGTTTAGAGGTTCAGGAAGGCAGCTAGGGTTACTTGCCGAGGTTGCAGTGTGGCTCACCATTCCCAGACACACCTCCCAGTGGATGCCCATCACCTCATTTCTGGATCATAGGAGCTACTTTCTTTCTTAAAAATAAAAAGGCTGGGCGTGGTGGCTCATGCCTGTAATCCCAGCACTTTGGGAGGCTAAGGCGGACAGATCACAAGGTCAGAAGTTTGAGACCAGCCTGGCCAATTGGTGAAACCCTGGCTCTACTAAAAATACAAAAATTGGTGAAACCCTGTCTCTACTAAAAATACAAAAATTAGCTGGGTGTGGTGGCGTGCACCTGTAGTCCCAGTTACTCAGAAGCTACTTCTGAGGCAGAAGAATTGCTTGAACCCAAGAGGCGGACGTTGCAGTGAGCTGAGATTGCACCAATGCACTCCAGCCTGGGCGACAGAAGCAAAAACTCCGTCTCGGGAAAAAAAAAAAAAAAAAAAAAGGCTTCACCAAAGCAGAAGGCTTAGTTACCTGGTTTTCTAGTTCCCCAGGCAGAGTGAAATGGCTCACTGTGATTCTGGGTCCCGGGGTCCCACAAAGACCCAGGTTCCTCCAACTCTGGAGAAGCTCATGGGGACCAGAGAGGCCAGCCTGGGCAGGAGGAAGAGCCAGTCCGCCCAGATTGCTCTAGTAGCCTGGTTATGAAATAGGCTGAAAACAAACAATAACCTGGCTGGGCGCAGTGGCTCATGCCTGTAATCCCAGCACTTTGGGAGGCCAAGGTGGGTGCATCACCTGAGGTCGGGAGTTTGACACTGGCCTGGCCAACATGGTGAAACCCTGTCTCTACTAAAAGGACAAAATTAGCTGGGTGTGGTGGCATATGCCTGTAATCCCAGCTACTTGGGAGGCTGAGGCATGAGAATTGCTTGAACCTGGGAGGTGGAAGTTGCAGTGAGCCAAGATTGTGCCACTGTACTCCAGCCTGGGTGACAGAGGGAGACTCCATCTCACAAACAAATAAATAATAAAAACCATCGAATAGTAGCCTGGTTAAGAAATAGGCCGAAAACAAAAATAAAAACCATCAAACAGAAAAACCCTCCAACTATTTGAATATGTGAGAGGGAAAAAACTTTCAAAAACCTGGACAAGGGTGAGCAGAGCCTAGAAATCTCTCAAGGTAGACTTGCTTCCTCATTTGGCCAAACTGGATTATACTTGTGCCAATATCAGCTGCCTATATCTAAATTTATCACTTCCGAGTTTGTGAGCAGCTACATCCTCACAATGCTGCCTGAATGAGTAGTTTTTATTCATCAAGGTGAATTGAGTTTGTTCTCAATCACTTACCATCACCAAGTGGAATAAGAGAGAAGGAGAGAGCTAAGTTCACAGGCTGCTGCTACAAGGAGACTCTGCCCTGATCCTAGAAGCTGCCCTGGGAAGGCTGCTTGGGAAGGATCATCTCCATCCCACAGACAGGAGGTCCAAGTTCAGAAAGGTGCCATGGTCATGTTTGATCCTGATGAGCTGAGCCAGAGCCAAGAGCTCTGGGCTCCTGCCCCCAAGCAGAAAGGACCATGCTGACTGACCCTTGCATTCTCCCTGGTCCAGTCATTGTTTTCAGCAAACACTGTGGTGCACCTGCCCTTTGCTGAGCCTGTGTTTAGTGCTGGAGTGGAGGATGAGGCACTGTTTCTGTTTTCAGGGGATGCACAGCCTCGAGTGTGGGAGTCTGGGCTGTGGAGCTTCTCAAACAGAAAGCTGGGGGTTATTGGTGATTCTGAACTGCCGCTTCCCTCTTTACCCAGATGCCGGCTGCTGCCTGCCTTTCCCCACTGGTCCAGAGCAGTGCTCTGGACCCCATGGTATTGTGGTTCTGTGCTTGGCCTCTCAGAACTGCATGAGCTGCACACAGAGGGACATGCCCCATCTCCTACCTTAGGGTGACTGCAGCTTCCAGAGCTGTAGGGCTGAAGGCCCACAGGGTCGTGGGGTGTGCCTTATGCTGTGCTGAGGAAATGCAGCTGGCCTCGCCTGACTCTGCTCATAGGTGGCGTGGCCCCTCGAGCCCAGCTGTGTTTTCCTTGTGCTTCTGTGTCCTGTCTCTTTATTTCTCGGATCCTGTGCCTCAGCACAGCATAAGGCACAGCCCATGACCCTGTGGGGCCGTCAGCCCCCCACAGAGCAGGACGCCCTCAGGCTCTGTCCCCTGCTGAAGGTGGTCTCTTAGATGAGAGGCTTCTCAGATGGGCCTGTTTCTCTCTCCAGCCCCAGGTTCCCATTCCTGAAAGCAGGCGTGTGCATCTTAAAAACTAACTTGTGTCTCCAGAAAGTCTTGGAGGGAGAGGGGCTGGGAGGGACGGGGGTGGGAGAAGCAAAGGCCACCTCCTTTTGGAGCGGTGGCCTTCTCCAGGGTTCTCCCCAAAGGCCACATTGCTGAGTATCCATTCGTGTGTGCTTCCCCAGGGCCAACGTGCTGAAATCTCTCCTGTCTACAGCTGCCAGGAGAATCGTGCCCAGACGCTACTTTCGCAGCTTTGAGAACTTCCTTCGGTGGTTCTGTAGAGCATATGGGCCGATGGCCAGTGCCACACATTCAGGATACACCCCACCTGGCTTCTGGTCCCTTCTTCCTGGTGATGGGAGACATTTGCTAACCACCGTCATCTCCCTTGTTCTACAGAGCGGCTTCCCCTCTCTACTAGATCAGGCATTGCCTTAATCTTCAAGGTAATGGAAACTGGACCCACCTGGGTCTCATTCTGGGTCCCCCTTTTCTGATGTATTTGTAGGCATGCTCTGTGGCCCCAGCAAGTCCCTTTCTTTCTTTGGTCTCCCCTCCTATGCCCACCTTTGTTTACATCTCAGGCCCCTTGTCTTGGCCCAGTGGTGACCAAGGTGAGGCTTCTGCTCACCTTAAGACAGCACTAGGCAGGTAGGTGCCTCTGGCACGGCCTCCTTCCTCTGGGAGCTGGCAGGGTCGCGTGATCCTGGGGCGCCCTCTTGTGGGTGAAAATCCTCATAAGCCTCATCTGTATTTTTTCCCTTTTGATCTTCTGGGATTAACCTCTGCCTGGGGCCATTTATTCCGAACTCTATGGGCGCCTCTGTTCTCAGAGGCAGTCAGGTAGTCGGTCACAAACAAACAGAAACATGGGGTGCGTCCTACATTTGTACATACTTGTATGCTAGTAGTCACTCTGCTGGCACTGGGGATACAAAAGTGAATATTAGGCCCAGAGAGATTTGGTCCAGTCCCCTCGGTTTACAGATGGAGAAACTTCAGCCCTCAGAAGCAGAGAGAGGCACCAAACTTATCTGGTTATGCAGGCTTCACACAAAACTCAGGTGTCCCGACTATCATCGGAAAGCAAGTCGCTTCCATCTCCCTGATGAAACTCCTGGATGCCATAGTAACAAAGCTTAGCACCCACGATGGATGTTTTCAGGAATTACATTCCTCATTTCTCATGTCTGGTAGATTTTACCCATGGGAATGGCAGGGAGAGACCCCCTCCCAGTGTACTTTTCTCAGGGGTCACTCTGCTGGCAGCACTGCCAGGCACTGTCTTGTCTGCAAACCTTGCTGATGCCTGCACAGACTGGACGTTCTTTCAGGACATAGCTCCTGCCATTGTCACTCACCAGCACAGTCCAGGGTCTTTGTGATACCTAACACATGCCTGGGAATGGCTACTTCACTTTTTTTTTTGAGACAGGGTCTTGCTGTGTCACCCACGCTGGAGTGCAGCAGCCCAGTCGGCTCACTGCAGCCTCAATCCTGAGCTCAGGTGATCTTCCTGCCTCCGCCTCCCAATTAGCTGGGACTACAGGTGTGCACCACCATGCCTGGCTAATACTTTAAAACATTTTTTGAAGAGACAAGGTCCAGGCCCAGGTTGGTCTCAAACTCCTGGCTCAAGTGATCCACCCGCCTTGTCTTCTCACAGTGCTGGGATTATAAGCAGGCAATGACTTTCCTGTGCCCGTAGGTCTTCGAGTATATGCTGATGATGCTTAGTGGTGGTCCTCGGGAAGCGATTCAAGCACTGGATGTCTGGTGGACCTGTCCTGGTGTGTGCGTGTGTGTGTGTGTGTGTGTGTGTGTGTGTGTGTGTATAATGTATATAATATAACATAGTATATATCAGAATATATGATATATATGGTATTCTAACATTTCATATATGATATATGTGTTTTAATTTTTTTTGTTGTTGAGACAGAATCTTGCTCTGTTGCCTCACCTAGGCGACAGGCTAGACTGGAGTGCAGTGGCGTGATCTTGGCTCACTGCAACGTCCGCCTCCTAGGTTCAAGTGATTCTCCTGTCTCAGTCTCTCTAGTAGCTGGGACTACAGGCACACACAACCATGCCCAGCTAATTTTTTTTTTT